GCCTAAAGAGAGGAACAATTTTGAGACGGGGCCCGCAACTGGAGCGGGCTGGCGCTAGGAGGGGTCCGGATGTCTTAATAACAGCTGTTCCCGGATCCCTCCTATTACAGGCGCAGAGTGGCACACCGTGTGGTTTTAGTCGGTCCGAGTCCGACACACCACCCTGCCGCAAACCCCGGTGGGGTGACGGTCCGAGGGGATTTCTACACGTTAAAAAAAAAAAAAAAAAAAAAAAGGGTTTGTTTCAAGTTTTCCTTCTCTTTGCAGTGCTATTGTGCTCTGCTCCCTTAGTCGGCTCTTACGACACCCACGGGTTGAATAGGGGTGGTGACATTCCATATTCTCAATCCGTCACCACACGGACTCATTTACCTATTAAAACTGTGTTTGAACAATTGAACTTCTTAGGTACCATCAAGGTTTCAAAGATTAAAGTTACAACTATGTTAATATTTTGCTGCATACTTACACATTTTCCATTCTTCTAGGGCGGTCCGTTAATGATTTGAAAATATTTGAGGTTAATTTTATTAATGTGTATGATATAGGATATGTGCAGCATATGTGCAGGATAAAGGGAGGAAACACCTCCCTTTTTCCTGCAAGCCTAGTCACTACCCGGTGACCAGATCCTCCCTAATTCTGAAGGGAGTTAATCAAAGGGCGGCAATGCAATGAAATGAAATGATGAAATGAAATGTCCATGGGCGGAAGTCGTCACTTACCATAACCACCATCTGTGACCCGTCAGTTCGTTTGCCGTCTATTGCATAAATTAAAAATATCAGATTTAATACTTTATAATATAATGCTGTGAGGCTGCTCGTTTTTTATTATACGAGTACCTCTGATTTGTTTTGTATTGGCATTGTTTCGTTTCCAAAGGTTAGACAACCAATAATATTATATTATAAATGTAACTATACCTATATTTTAAAATATTCTACTGAATAATACTACCTACTACTGAATGACTTACCGATAAAATCCTATGTTTTTTTATTTTATTTTTATGGTATAAAGGGACAAACGAGCAGACGGGTCACCTGATGGCCGCCCATGGACACCTGCAACTGAAAAGTCACAATTGCGTTGCCGCGCTTAGAGTCCCTTCCCCGCTTGATTTAATTTTAATTTAATTTCAGTGAAGGCACCCTTCGTGTATTCGAGGCGAGGTAATAAGATGATCTTAACGCCATCGGGATATACTTCTCTCTACTCACCTTTCAAGAGGCTGTCGCGCCGAAGTTATGACATTTGATAATATTATACTGCAACAGAAGCACACACATGATCATGTACCAAATAAAACTGGTTTAGTGAGAAACCCGGACATTTAAATTACCTATACTGTTAATACAATTTATTAAATAGATACAGTCTATTAAGATTATTTTACTTTTACTTATTATGTTATAGAAATTTTCTGGTTGACATGGCAGGCTGCTCGAATACAATCTGTATTTACATAGAAACCTATTTAATGAAAATTTAGACGATGTGAGACAAGAATGTTCAATCCATATATTATAAATGTCAAAGTGTGTCTATCTATCTGTCTGTTAGCTCTTCACGCTTAAACCGCTGAACCGATTTAGATAAAATTTGCAATAAAGGTAGTTTGATTCGCGGAAAAGGACATAGCATAATACTTATCCCAGAAATCGTGAAATTTAGTATGGAGATAGTTTGACTATTGAGAAAGGACACAGTTTACTTTTTGCCGCGATAATCGACAGACACGGGAGCCGCGGGCAAAAGCTCATCAACAGCCTTTAATAGTTTACTGTTGTACATAGGCCTCTCCTTAGAAAGAAGAGGCCAGAGGGGTTGGTATAGAAAAACATTTAGGTAGAGGGTAGGCAGGATATATGTAATAAATAACAGTTTGTAAAACTATTAAAATGTTACGTGAAAAAGGTTTTAAAAAGTTGCAAAGAAAAATGTAGGCTAGCTAAGGATATTGAATGCAAACATCATTCTTAATAAATGTTTCTACGTCAGTACGCTACTGTTTTACAAGCTAAGAACTGTTCGATATTTTTACAGAAGAAGTAAAGTACGTGTACTCGAAGCGAGGGAGCAAACTGATATTGTTGTCATCTGGATATACGTACTACTATCAGCGGACATATCGGAGTAACAAAATGCGCTGGCTTTGTGCTACTCACCAAAGAAAAGGCTGCAGAGCGGATGCCACTACTTATGATAACGTTATGATAAAGGAGAGAAATATTCACATTCACAGACCTGTATTTAATTGGTACAATAAACCTGTACCTTTAAGATCCTACATCGAACCGCTTAAAACAAACGATTTAAATTCTATGATAATAATTAATTAAAATAATTCATTTAATAATTCATTTAGTAATAATAATTCTATAATTATTGTTACATACACTACCTACATACACAGCTTGTTGCCGAGATATGCTCGTTAACAATTGTTTATCTATTATATATATATATATATATATATATATATATATATATATATATATATATATATATATATATATATATATATATAAAACTACATGTGCTTCTACATATATATACATACATAGTAGGTACATAAGTTCCATGTACAAGCACCAACCATTCTATGATTAGTTTCTCCTAAAATATTTTTTACTTTACTTTATATATAATTTTTTTATACTTCGACTGTATGACCTGCTGAATTCATTTTTATATAGTATAAGAATTACATTAATAAGCTGATTCATAAATCAAATCACGCTGTAGGTACTCCAAACTGTTCTCTTGTAAGTCTTAAAAGGACAAGAATATGTATAAATTATGATTAGCTTTTTGTCATACATAAATAATTATGTAAGCTGAAAATATACTAAGTGCTCGATGGCGCTATCTCAGAACGTGTAATTAATTTATCAGTATTAAAGTCATACTTTGTGTGTCCTTTTGTCTCCAATGTGTAATTTTCTGTACCTAGATCGTTTATTTTGATGTAATAACGACTTAGTTTGGTTTCTAGGTTTATTATATAAAACTTCACTAAATAATTGGTCAATGGAGCCTTAGACTTAATATAACCAATACGCGAACTATCAAGGTAATGTGGTATAATCATGAGAGCACAGGTTGAAACCTGTGCCGGCCCCATGTAGAATAGGAACAACGAAAATGAGAAATACTCGTTGCCGAATGTCTGATCGGAAAGTGTCTAAAATTTGTTGTGCTGTAACATAGTACATCCAGTCCCGTTTCCCCATCAGAGACTTAGGACTACCCTCTTTTCCTCTCCTTCTCTTTTACATTTTCCTTGCCCTAATAAATATACTTTCGTTGTCCTTTCTAAAAGCGATTACGTTCCTAAGGAGGAGGATAAGCGTCAGGCAGTCAGCCGGTTATCAGTTCTTTCCAAAATATGCCGTAAAAAAGTAAAACAGGGAAAATAGCAGAAGGACGATGATGCACACAGTTGTAAAATTCCTGCAAAGTATTAATTAATCTAGTATTGAACTAAGCACTGCCTGTTCTAATCGCAACCGCTTGAGGCCTTCATAGCAAAGAAAATTATATTATATACATTAATATGACAACGACCAAACACCTTTTTTTCAGGTCTCACATCAAGCTATGTATATTCAAGAAGAGGAAATAAATTGCTCCTAGTGGAAGGATATTCATTTTATCGCCAGACGTCTAATTCCAGCAATAGAGCCAGGTGGTTGTGTGCCACTCATTACAAGAAAGGGTGTAGGGCCATCGTCCACACAATTGATGATAGGATACTATCTGTAAAAAGAGAACACAATCATCCCCCAAAAGTGAACTGGACAACCGAACAACCGCAATATCAAAGTATTTCGTACAATCCGCTAGAAATGTTTTATTAGGTTCGAATGTATGTAGTTCGTAGTTGTTCCTATATGTTGCTTTATGAATGTGTATTTAATTTTTAAATGTGTGTTTATAATTATGTAAGACAGTGATACTGGGCAAATAAATTCTAAAACAAACTGTACAGCTCTCGAAATCAGCAAAAATTGTAGAGCTTAAGTTCCAGAAAAACATTTCTTGGCTGTCATAAGCGCACAATTGAGTTGTGCACAGAAAAGCCTTGAAAAACATGCTTAATGTATCTACTACTACCAACAGGATTTTAAAACCCATGTGAAATCTCTTGGTCTGTATAATTAACTCTTAAACTACTAGTATAAGGGACGCCAATTAGTCTTAAATGGTGAAAAGATGCTAGCTACTTACATACTTTGTTTCGACACAAAATAAAGCAAATACGAAAGATGATTATTACGGTTTTTACTTGAAATATTTTCAGCTATGACAAGAAAGAGCATCTTCATAGAATTTCCATATCTAAAATGCACACTATTTATTTATTTATATACGTCATAGACTCCTAATACCCTTGGCATCATCGCCTACTTGTTGGGTTCTACTTCTTCTCACCCATCTTGCAGATGATTATTATATTGTATTTAACTTAAATTTTTCATCATTTTGTTAAAACCAATTACCAAAAGATGGAACAAGAAAAACTATGCTAAATAATAATATTATGAATTCCTTCGCATGGGTGCAAATGGGTACTTTGGTAAGGTACTCCGTATGGGTTGAATTTCAACCAGTCAACTGCTGACCGAACTATAGATAGGTACAAGGAATATCAATATGTTATTCTTATGTCTATTCTGTGTCATGTCCAATTTGTAGATTTTTATAAAATTTATTTTCTCGGCTTCGGTGCTTTGAAAGACTGACTGCACGGATGGCGTAGTAGTTTAAGCGGTCACCTCGCCGTTTTCTACTGCGCCGTTGGATCCTCACATGGGACAACACTTTTTGTGATCCACAAATTGTTGTTCTGAGTATCAGCGTTCTTTATGTCCATTTCATTAATGGATGTAAAGTTCTCCGTGACACAGGAGTAGTGCGGGAGTTTTCTTTTCAAAAAAAAAGACTCAAGTTCAGTTCTAAAGGACCCTTTATTTGCAGAAATAAAATTCATCATGTCTAATAAAAGGAACCGACTTCTTCTCAAAGCCGGATACACTTATTACGAAGATGGAGGCAAAAGAGACTTAGGTCCTGAAACAAGGTCAAGATGGAGGTGCTCAACTCATCAAGGAAAAAAAGGCTGCAACGCGAGGATCAACATGGTTGGAAATCAAGTTATTTATGGTAACTTTGTCCATAACCACCCACCGAATTATAAAGGGGAATGGAACTGGAACGGAGGGTTTTTTTGAAATGCCGAGATCAAAAACACTTTATGGTAGTTTTGTTTAGAGCCATTACAGTTTTACCTACTTAATGATCTATTGATCTATGATCTATCTACTCTCGACATACAATTTAACAAATCTTATAACATACACAGATAAATGATCAATATCATCCATAAATATTGAAAAAACTTAGAATACGAAGAACCTTCGTGGTTTTAAAACTTAAAACTATGACAGTAATATTGTCATTACTTTAATATTATTGGATAACAAACCGATATTTAAAATCCGATCTGATAAAAGCATTCTCTGAATTAACTTTCATTCAAATCTTACGAACTTTAGTACTAATGTTTTAAATTAAGTTCAATTTTACTCGTATTTAAAAAGATTGGGTTCTGATAGATGTTTTTATCACTACTTATATTTTTCCTAAAACATATAATATACTTTAAAAAGGTAATATTTTAATAAACATATTATTTTCCTTTATAATTCAAAACACTTCTACTATACTGATTGCCCGTTTCTCACCCATATTTATTAATAACACGGTAGTACAGGATTGGACATGCAAATAAAAGTAGTAAAATACTCATAAAAATAAAGAATGACGTCTACAATTAATTCGGATTTGACATATTAAAGACTCCGCTTTCAAATCCTTGGTATTATTATGTGTAATATCACTATTTGTTTCTAAAGTTAACATGTCAGGACTAGTTTTATACTATTCATGTACTTTATAATCAATAAGGCTAGTTGAATGTCACCATCATCCTCAACTTTAACATTTTAAGTCACTGCAAGGTCCTATTTTTTTATTTAAGAACTAAAGAATTTAATAATCATGTAAATAATATGTTTTATGTTTAATTTTGATAATGATTACAGCCAATTAATATAAATATTATAATTGTATTTAAACTCATTAATAATAAAATGTAAATTAATCTCATGGTATATTTAGATGATACTCATAATAGTAATGGTTTGAATCTTATTCTGCACATTACATTTAATCATTGTATCTTTTTAATTGTTATTAAATAAATAATTGTCATTTAAAGGATCTTTTGTTGATTGAACCGTCAAAAATTATGTTATTTCTAAGAAAGGATAATGTGTTTCCGTTCTATTATCGGTTATTCATAATAAAAGACAGTATGCTTAAATTTTTTAGATAAGATTTTATACTATGAATTTACCTTACAGTAGCTAATGTTAAAGAATAGTAGTAAAAGTAATCAGAATTAAACCGACTAAAGCCACAGGGTATTTCGTCACAAATGAAACGTATTGCACGATCCCGAGTATATCCTAAATAGAAAACCTTTAAACAACCCTACAAACCTTGGCCGCCTGACAACAGGCGAACACACCTGACACCGTCGAGTATGGGGGCTTTACTCCAGATCAGAGAGGCGCTATTCCAGGCCAGTTCTCAAGAAGGTTGACGATCATTCTGTGCTTTTCTACTCCTGATGCGTCTCCTGCTGGATCGAAGAGCACTTGTACTCTCCCGCTCCCGGTCCTCTTTAGACATTACCTCCTCGTCAATCGAGGCACTATCGCACGATCCTAAAAATAGCTTAATAAAGAAAAAACTTATAATGTGCGTATTCGTGATGAAAGAATCTCGATAATGCTTAGAAGTGAAGCAACATGCAATATAAATATAATATTTAAACATTATATCAAAATATTACGTATTGTTTTAAATACTACGCTAGTATCGTTGATATATTAGGAGGTTGTGGTTTGATTTAGTAATATCTGGATATAGTGTTTAAAATATACACAAAAATGATATTTTCTTTTTTTCAGATCAACTTCTGTACATGATGTCTAAGAAAGGTAACGTGATGCTTAGTTACCAAGGCCACAGCTATCATTTAAAGTATACGAAGAACTCCAGAAAAACTTGGCGGTGTTCCAGACACTGTTCGTTCAGGTGCCGAGCCACAATAACTACTGTTGATAATCATATTTGTAAGTTGAAAAATGAACATAACCACCCATGTAACCTATATTACTCGTAAACGAATTTAGTCTCTATAGGTTTCAGACATAGTTGCCTGTTATATTTTTATAAATTTTATTATGCATTATTGTTTTTCGCCGTCAGAAAGTAGGCAAAGTGTCAGGTGTTACACAAAATATGCGTTTACTTTAAGGCTCCTCCTTTAATTATAAGTTCATTGATATAATTAAGTTTAGTTCTAAAATTACTTTCCTCTATTGGTCGATTCGAGAATTTTTGTGTAATAGTATTGCGTTTACAATAAGCTATGGTGAAATATGGAACTTATAGAAATAATAATGGATTTAATAATTGGTAATAATGGTGATAATATGGTGCTTATCGGGTCTCAGTATATCCCAAACTGAAACTCCGGTGTTGGTGATGTGGTATTGGTGTATTGTAAGAGTAAAAACGGATTAATGATTATTTATAATACATTTAGATATCAGTGTTAATATATTATTATATTAATAAAATGAATATTAACTACGTGTAATAGAAAATATTTTTTAAAATAAAATAAATAAATAACGTTTATATTTGTATGCAAATGTATTATACATTTGTAAATTAATATATTTGACAATTAGTATGTAAGGTTCAATTATTTTTATTAAATGAAATGTATATCGATTTATGCATTTGTTGTTTAATAGTTATTAATGGTATAATATAGTTTAATTTTAAATACTAATCGATTCAAGCTAGACCAATTTTATCAAATGTTTATAAAACATATTTTTATAGTTAAGATCTTAAACAAACCAACGATTTCTTACTATTCGATTTTGATATTCTTCATTATATAAGGTTATTTTTTATCTCCACATACAACATTATACACATACAACATAACCGGAGAATCAAACCTCCGCTCCGGCTTAACAAGCCGGAGCGGAGGTTGGTTCGGTTCCCACTCAGGACAAATAGTTGTATAATGAGCACGATCATTTGTTTTGTGTCTGGGTGTATTTTTTCTATAATATGTTTCTATTAAAAATATATATATGTATGTTTATCAGCAGTCTGGTTACCATAGTATAGGCTTTGCCTAGTTTAGGATCAGACTGCCGTGTGTGAGATGTGTAAAGTTAATATTATTATTTGATCTTCGAGTAACGCAGCGAAATTATAATTAAAGGTGGACTGTATTTTAAATTGATTTATTACACTGTACATGTAATATGGAATGATTCCGTAATGCGTGTGTCTTGTGCGCTGCTCGGTCGTCAAGTGAAGGGGCTCATGACACCTTTAATTGCCGCAATCGTCGCTCCCAGCTCGCGCCCACCGCTCCCTCGCTGGTTGCCCACGCGCACAACAGTTGTTGATAATTCCTAATTAAAATAATTAATTAAAACTAGTGTTGTAAGTCATGTATATGTTACACCTATTGTTTTTGTACATGTATGTATTTGTCACTATCTTTACTGAATCCTGTATAGTGTTCGTATCTGCTAATGTTATAAAGGAAGGCAAACGAGCAGAAGGGTCACCTGATGGTAAGTGACTACCGCCGCCACCGGACACCTGCAACTTAAGAGTCACAAGTACGTCGTCGCCCTTTTTGTTTTGCACCCCCACACCTCAGAGTCATGGTAGAGGGGTTTGAGCTCCGGTAATAATTATAATATTTTCGGACATCTGACACAATGCCATCTAGTATCAAACTAAGCAGAGCTTGTACTATGTAAGCAAGATGGACTGATAGAATACGTATATACTTTCTTTTTGTAAATACATACATATTAACACCCAAACTTCGAAAGAAATATTTGCAGATCATACAAACATTTGGTCCGACCCGGGAATCGAATCCGAGACCTCAGCATAGCAGTCGCATATGCTACCACTGCACCACTGAGGCACAATCTCACTCACTCGGTGAAAAGCAAGTAAAAATTCCTTAACACCGGCTCTCTGTGATGCAGTGATACCACTGCATCACAGCGATTCGAGTCGAGGCGGCCCACTTGTACCGAAGCATGGCTCTCTTACGAATATATATTAGATAGTATATATATAATAAATAATATATAACATTAAAATATAGTTTTATAGTTATTCTATATTAATATAATTTGTTTCTAATGTATGTACATTTTATTTATTGTAAGGCGAATCAAAAATTGGCAGTCGTTCAAAAAATAAAATGAATTTTTTTCACTTTTGTTTTTTTTCTACAATGTAAGCTATAAACATATATAGGCCTAATAACGAAGTCTTTGGCCAACGCACATACCTAATCTATCTAATTATTTCAAAGATACCGACTACACTTATAATAGGACCAGTTGTGTCAAAAATGATTGAATTTCTGCGCAACGAGGTCATTCTAGAAAGATTATAGTTGTGTTTCTAGTGTGCTAAACTGAACCACATTAGCTATGAGAAGCTTAATTAAAATGAAGCGCAGAATATATAGTATATGTCGAAGAACATGTGAAACCTCTTACAAAGAAATTTCTTCCATATTGAACTTTAGCTGATTTATGTATAAAAAAACAACTTTGAATTGCATTCCTTAATAATATATAAATTAAATACTCGAAGTGATATAATGTAATTGATACTACTTACATTATAATTTTATGTTAAATATATCTACAGTTCCTTATAACCTAAACTTTTACGAAGTATTTACAATACCATATTTTTTTAATATACAAGAATTGGGTATGCATGTCTGCAATACAATAGATGACAATTTTCACATAGTTAACTAAACTTAGGTTGAGTACTGCACTCCTAGATAGGCTACTGAGCGACCTGTGATAAGGGGTTACAGTGCCGGACCCCTGTTGGTATATGGGTTGATTTTATTAGTGCGTGAGATACAGGCATATGTGTGTGCGTGTGTGTGTGTGTGTGTGTGTGTCTATGCATGACTGTGTGACCCTTTTTAAAAGAATAATTAATATAGTGATAGTCTATATAATGACATGGTGCAATTTATCTGTTTATTTCTTCAGACTTCCTAATAACAACGTCCTCGAGAGGAGCCCGAATCGTAATTTCTAAAGGCTATAAATTTCGGAAACAAATGGATAGTGGACCTAAAGAAAGATGGCTTTGTCATGATCAACGATTTGGTTGCAAAGCAGCGTTATACACGATAGAAGATCAACTTATATCTAGAAGGAATGAACACAATCATCACCCTCCAAAAAGAATCTAAGCTTAATAATGGACGTGAATTATAGTATTGCATATTCATCCTAAACTACAACATTTTAAATAGAGTGTATCCAGCAGTAGACTATTAAAGGCTGTTGATGTGATGTGTATCTAAAAGTAGATGTTAGATGAATCCTGAGACAACTTTAATTCAAACGACAATTGAAGATGTTTATGTAATGAATTACTAAATAAAAAAATCTACAACAACAAATAGGTCGAGTTAAGTGATTTTTCGATTGTATGCCTCCACTGACTGGGTTATGTTGGTGTTTCAATCAAGCCATGGGCTGTTTGCAAACGAAAAGCTGAGAGAACAAGCATATTTGTAGGGTTCCTAATAATTTTATAGTAGAATTTTAGTAGTACTTACAGAACATTTTTAGAATAGATATTATATCCGCTTTAACTCTATTTTTTATTATTAATAATAATTATAATCTATACTCATATTATAAAGAGGTAAAGTTTGTGAGTTTTATGATTAAGGTAATCTAAGGAGCTACTGGTTCGAATTAAAGTGTTAAAAAGCCCATTTATTGAGGACGGCCATAGGCTATTTAACATCATGCTAGGATCCATAGGAGCCAAGCATCAGTGAAAAATGTTGCAAAAACGGGGAAAATTTACTCCCATTGAGAGCCCCAGACGAAGCTGCGCGGGTCAGCTAGTTCATGGTATAACGCATGAATTAATAAATTTCTGACTCAAAAGTAACTAAGTATTATCACAATAATTATTACTTAACCGTTAAATGTGTTAGATGAAAATAATAATACAGGTAAAAGTATTTTCTTATTAAAATTAACATTTTGTTATATTACATGTATTTAATGTAACCATTGATAGTCGAGTGGTTAAGGCATTTAACTGCACTGAGGTAGATGTGAGTTTGAGACCCACTTATTCTTTGGGTTTTTTCTCTGTTATTATGTGTTTAGGTAATATAGCTTTTGTTATATTTACATTTTTATGTTAACAGATTTTCGGATAACAACATCTTCTAGAGGAGCCCGCATAATACTTCTCAATGGCTATAAATTTAGAAAACAAATGGATATCGGACACAAAGTGAGGTGGTTCTGTCATGATCAACGATCTGGTTGCAAAGCAGTATTATACACAATAGAAGATCAACTTATTTCTATGAAGAATGAACACAATCATTATCCTCCAAATATAATCTAAGCCAGCAGTAGCAGCTTGTAAACAAGATTTAACCAGTATTTACATTTTTATCGAAAATGAAGTAAATTATGATTTAGTAAAAAATAAAGAAGGCTGTCATGAAGTTTATTAAAAAATAACTTTAGTTTGTTTTTGTTACTAATAAAACAGTTAATCCCATTGCTTTATAATTTAACGTTCATATTTAAAAAGTTTACATCTGTTTTTTAAACCAGAACCCTAATTAAAATAGCCCGATACGCCAATGATTAACTTAGAACAAGTCTGTACTGCTACTTTCTTTTCCCGTAAGTATCTTAAAGCATGATTTCGAATAAGTGCATTTATGGTAGATCAATGGACATCTCTACTCTGCTCATCTAAAAATGAAGCGCACTAAAGCCTGTGGACTTACCAGATACTTGATTTGTGTTTGAATATAAACTGTTATCTCAAATATGACAAGATAATTTTATATTTGACATAATTGTCGCATCTTTAATAATTTTTTGTTGATTTGTGTGGTAATGCAGCATTTAGCGCTTTCTTTTAAAGATTGATTATGAAGTTTGTTTCTAAGTTGGGACATACTTGATTACTCGGGTGACGTTTCTGACAAGTT